CTAATCAGGCCTGATGCCAGCTTGATTGCCAGTGTAACTGCTGCACTTGAGAAAGAGCAGCAGGCCGCGGCGGGTGCGATTGCAGGAGGGCTTGCAGGAGGCCCGGGTGGTGGGCTGGCCCGCAGCAGGAGCGGCGTGCCGGCGGGCGCGGCTGGGCGGCAGCTGCGGCGGCACTTTGGCGAGCTGACGGCTGCGTTCCTGGCGCCTTTCCAGCGCTACTTTGAGCCGGGAGCTAATGGCATGGTGAGAGGCGATGTGTTGTAGTTCAGCATGCTGCATGCCGGTTGAATGATGTCGCTGCTTTTCTGGAAATGTTGCCGCGGTACTTTAAGCCAGAGCCAAAGTATGGTGAACGGCAATGTGTTTTGTGTGTTCTTTGCAGCATCTTGCACGTGGGCTGCATAAAGGGCGGCTGCCTGGCGGCGTATTAACAATGAATACTTGCCTCCTTCTGTTTGCCTGCACATGTGCCGTGCTGGTGCCGGCAGCACTTCCTTGCCAGCGTCAAGTCTGCAGGCCTGCTACGTTGCTCCCTTTGTCCGTGTTTCTTCTTATCTTGTTCCTTCCATGTTTGCACAGGTGCCGCGCTGGTGCCCGCAGCACTTCCTTGCCAGCCTCAAGTCGGCAGGCCTGCCGCCCGCGCTGGCAGCGCGGCTGGCGGGCAACGCATTCGCCTCAGCTGCAGCGCTGTATGCGGCCTTCATTGCTGGGCCCAACTTTGCGCACTGGTTTGGGCAGCAGCGGCGGCCTGTGCTGCACCTGGTGGAGCCTGCAGCGCCTGAGCAGGTGAGGAAAAGGGACGCTTGTAGCGCCCGTGGTTCATTTGGAACGATAAATTGAGATGTCAATGCTGATTGAGGCAGACGGTGCTGCACCTGGTGGAGCCTGCAGAGACGGAGCAGGTAAGGGAGGGTTGCGTGCTGTGCCTGTTGACGATGCATGAGTTCGCTCAAGCTTTGTGCCAGCTGGTTTGCCCAGCAGAAGCAGGCGGTGCTGCATCTGGTGGAGCCTGAGCAGGTGGGAGAGTGTTGGAGGGGACCTGTTTGCAGTGCATGTTTGCATGGTCTGTGGCTTATTGGATGTTGTTCGGGCTGGCTAGCACGGCAACATCCAACATGACGGCGTACTCACAAACAAGTGTGATGTTGTATATTGAGCTACACCTCGGATTGCAAAGCATCGCGAGGCAGGGTGTTGTTCAACGAGCATGTGGCTGCTGTGTATGCTGTTGTGACTTGCTGTTATGCAGGATGAAGTTGCAGAGGAGGGCTATGATGTGCTGCCAGATGTGCAGCGGCAGCAGCAGCAGCAGCAGCAGCCTGCAGACACAGCAGCTAGCAGTGGCAGCGGCAGCAACAGTGCAGGCAGCAGTGGCAGCGGTGGCACAAGTGGTAGCGGCAGCAGCAACAACGCAGACGATGAGGTTGCGCGGGTGCAGGCCTTCTTAGGAGCGGAGCAGGATATGCTGTCTGTAGGAGAGCAGCAACAGCAGTGTGAGCTGCAAGCTCGGCTGGTGCGCACGTTCACAGCACTGCCTAGGGACCTGCAACTAGCGTTGATCAGCAGTCCGGCTAGGAGGCATCTGCTGGATGATGTTGTTGCCGCGCTTCAGGCTGGCAACAACAACAGCAACGGCAGCAGCGCTGCGACTGTTGGTGCGGGTGACAAACAACATGTTGCCTTTGGTCGGGGGGTTGATGTGCTAGAAGGGTTGCAGCAGCTGCAGCAGCTTATGCAAGAGCTGAGCGTGGGCAGCAGCCAGCGCACCTGAGGCTTTATCTTAGGTGTGCGTCTGTGTTGTTCGGTGTTTTGTTGTACATTTGTAAATGACAGCGCACGTTTCACAATTATAATGAACCGACAGCAACGTCTCATCATTTGTGCCAACAAGTTGGATCGAAGAAGAGGGGTTACACGGTGTGCACAGGCAACTACGTTGCAACGAACACCCGAAAATCTGGAACGTCGCAGATGACTCAGCAAAACAGGCTGTCACTCAAGGAGACTCACCCCAGAAAGTCTCTCTGTGTGTGTAACTTGACATATGGCCTTGCAGGCAAAGCCGTCAGTCACAGCACACGCAGTGTTGATGCTAAACAAAGGCAGGACTAGTGTAAACAGTGTCAGTGACAGCAAGCTGCACTTTATGCAGTGCAGCGGGCGGGCTGAACCCACAGAAACAACACCCACCAGCAGCAACACAGCCTGGCAGGCGGTGGTCTGAGGCGACAAACTGGGGAGAGAGAGCAGAGAACAAGCCAGCTGCTGCAAGGGCCGCACAACTACATGTTGCAGCAGCGATACGGCAACGCACAGCTCCTGCAAAGCAAGACGGCTAGCTCTGGCATGTCAGCAGCTCACAGAGAAAGCACGTACACACAGTGAGAAGAAGGCCATCACCGCCGCACCACACACAAACCATTGCCACGCAACACAGTATGCCAGGCAATAAACGGCTGTTGTGTGAGCAGCCGATTTCTATACCGTGACGGCACCCTAGCCGTAGCAGCAAAGTCCGCAAGTGCATCCCAAAAAGCACCTACTGCTGCTCTCACAGCCACTTGCTCCACCAGCTGGGGTACCCCAAGGTCACATGACACAGCCCACGCTGCCCTGCGGCCTTTCTCAAAAGCATGCACTGCTGCAAGACAGACCATGTCCCACACCAACCGATGTACAGCGTTATGAGGGGGGCACGCCAACCATATAGCTCGGCACGGCAGTACAGCACCTGCCGGCAACAAGTTGAACGCCCTTAGTTGACTTTCCACCTCACGCCGCACCGCCACAGCAACAGGACATGTCCAAAAATGATGCTCCACCCCAGGCCCTGCAGCAGAACATGCTGCACACGCAGCAGTAGTCTGCGTACGTTGAGCAGTAGGGAATGCATCCAAAGCCAAGCGCCACGCCGCTTCCTTGTACATGTTAGCCACCCGCACCTGCCACCAACGAGACAACACCGACTGCACTGCAGGCAGGCTGACTGCCATCGGCAGGGCATCCAGGGCTCTAACCCGAGTAACAAAGGCAGCATGGCGGGGCGCAATGGCATCAAGCGCAGCAAGACGTTGTAGCTTCGTGGCATCAGCAACCTGCAGATCAGCCAAACGTATAAAACCGTCTGCCCCTGGCCGCTGCCAACCCAAATCCGCACACAACTGTTCGCGCGCAATCAAAATGTCCACAGGAGAAACATAGGATAATTGTGCTACGCTCGTACCGGCAGCTTGGGCAGCCGCTAGGTGCGCGCGTGCTGCAGTATGCCACACAGACGGCACAAACGACAGCAAATGCTGCACATGCTGCCGAGCCTGCTGCCGATCACCGTACTGCGGTCTACTGCGCAGCCACGGGCCCCATATCTCGCGCTCATAAGCGGAGCGCTGAGCAGGAAGCCCTGGCAAGGCACAGACACGTTCAAGTTCTGACAACAGCAACACTGCCTGACCCAAACACTGTAGCTTAGGGAGCTCCAGCAGGCCACACGGCACCACCTGTTGCAAGCCCACCTCCACTTGACGCTGCTGATCAAACCATTGCCATGACTGTACCACTGTAAACAGAGGATTGGCCCACAGCGGAGCCTCCCAGCACAAACCATCCACGTCCAAAGGCTGGTTGCCCACATGACGCAACGGCGGCAGGGCACGCAAACCCATCGCCAAAACACGCAAAGGCGATGGCAAGCAGGCATCCGCAGGAGTCGCAGGGAAGATATGATGACGGGCACACAATGCAAGGCCCCAAGGGCTCCCAGCAGCAGCGCGTGTGAAACAATCCACAGCGCTACCCCTGTGTCCACAACTCCCGTCCCACTGTCACCCACGGTGCAGCACCGCCCTGCAGGAAGGGGATTGCTTCACAAGCCCAGCGAGACAACAAATGATGATGAACGGGCAGAAGGCCAAACCCACCACACCTAGGATGTGCAGCCATACAGTCCCCAGGGATGCCAGGGGCACGCCTAAGATCATCCTCAGGCCCCAAGCCAGCATCAACAAGCGCTGCCGTCCACCTGCTGAGCTGTTCTGACACATTACATTACATTACATTACATTACATGCTCCACTCAACGAGGAGTGGGAACCCCAGTCAGGAGCCAACGAGAGGCTCATAGGGGGAGGAAACATCGAAGAACAACTCATCATCGTCCAAACCGTCAGACGAAAACGCAGAAAAAAACTCATCAGCATCATCAATAGCTTGAGCAATAGCCTGAGAGGACAGAAGGACCTCAGGATCAGTGTCCGGGCTTAGCTGGCAACATTAGCTGGCAACTGCCCGGCAAACTGCGCTGCATATAGGATGGTGGACAGAGCATATGCATTAGCAGCGAAAGCCCTGCCAAACGCAGACAGCTTGGAGATGCGACTGATATTTTGCATGCGGCGACGCACTGTCTCCAGCCTGCCCTCCCAATCCACGCTGCTATTGCCACGCTCATCAAAAAACACTCCCAGAGATTTGGCGCGCTGCACAACCTGCATGCCGCCCACATTCTGCGCTGCCCCACCCGGCGCAGCTGCCGCTGCTGGCTGCCGCCCAACATGCAGCAAACGCGACTTGGATGGGTTCAACCGCTGTCCTGACGCTTCCGCAAAATCCTCCATGCAGCCAAGGAAAGTGGGGACATTCGCAAGCGACAGCAGAAACACCTCGGCATCATCCGCATACTGTGCTGCTACAAGCTGCTGACTAGCTGCAACAATACCAATGCCGCGCTGCTTCAGGAAGCACAACAACGCCTGTCCAACGAACAAATACAGCAGAGGTGCAAGGGGGCAGCCCTGACGCACCCCAGCCTCACACTTGTAGAAGGGGCTGCAAAAACCATTTGCTGTGGCGCATGTGTATGTCTCCGTCAGCAGAACTTGCATCCAGCTGACAAAACCCTGCCCTACACCCAGTGCTCCCAGTACAAGTTGGATCCGTCTAGCGGCTTGAGAGGTGACCGCACCCCAAACTGAGAGTGCTACCAGAGCCACTGCCTTGCATAAGGTTGGGTAGTTTAGTGGTAGTTTAGTGGTAGAACACCGGCATGGATGCTGGAGACCCAGGTTCGAATCCTGGTCCAACCGCCCGTGGCTGGGCCTAAAAAGCTTGCGACTATGGCCCGTGGCTGGGGAAAAAATCAACTGGAATTGACGGACTTGCGCGGGTGGTTTCGATCGCCCAAACAACGAAGGAAAGACTGGGTACAATTACTACTACCCCCCATGAGCGGATTAGCGGCTCGCTGGGCTAGTGCCTGGGGGCGGGTTCAGTCCCGAAAGTGTATTGTATTGTATTGTATTGCATTTTGCAGCAGCGCTATGCAACAACGTATCAGCTAAAGCAGCTTCTGGCCATGGACAACAGGTAGAGTAGTGGCACATCACAACAATTTTGAAAAATGTGGCGGCGTACTGTACGCAAAGTGGACATGTCTGACATTGCCTGCAAAGTGTTGAAGTGAAGCGTATTGTGCTGTTGACCTGCATTCGTCCAGTTGTGGAGTACGGCAGTGAAGTGTGGTTCCCGTTAACAGCTAGGCAGCTGCAGCAGATTGATCAGGTGCAGACAGACATAATTAAGTGTGCAGTGCGCTGTGGCAAGGAGCGTCCGTGTTCCTCGGCTGTTTTGGCTGAATGGGGTGTGAAGCCTTTGCATATGTGGTTACATCAGCGAGCTATGGAGTACTATTTCAGGATACATCGCATGGATGGTGTTAGACTGCCAAAGCAAGTTTTCTCTGCAGAGTGGAGGCGTTCGACTGGAGCAATGGTAGTAACTCCGTGGCACAAGTATGTGCAGAGTCTATTGTGCAAGTATGGTGTGAATAGAGACAGCAGCAGGGCGTGCAAGTTGCTGCAAGAGTCACATTTCAGGGCAGATCAAGAAGTTGCATGCAGATAGGATAATGTGTGAATCGCTGGAGCATTCCACTTTGTTGAGTTACATCACGCATGTGCACCCTAAACATGCTGATGTTATGACGTTTAAGCGGGTCAGGCCTTTTTTGCGGTCTGGGGCGCCTACACGTGGTGTCGAGTTGATGATGCGTGTGCGTTTGGGTTGCTTGGCTGTACATGAACGCACCAGTCGTTATGGTGGCAGGCGAGCTAATGGTAATACAGCATGTCCGGCGTGTGGTGCTGGTGTGGAGTCATTGTCACATTTGTTGTTTGATTGTGCTGCGAAGTCTGTGCATAGAGATGAGATGTTTAATGAGATTAGGGCTTTGTCTGGTTGCGCTGCAAAATTGCGTAACTTGTTGTCTATTACAGATGCTGAGGTGAAGGTGAAGCGGTTTGTGTCGGATGATGCTTGGGGTTCTGTTAGGTTACTGGTGTCTAGGTTCATTGCTCATTTTTCTGAAAAGGCTTGGGGTGTGCGTAATGCTTGCAAACACGAGGGTGTAGTTGCCGCTCCATTGGGGCGCGGGGCCGATGGCGTTGATGCTATGGCTTGATGAGTAACATGATGATGATGATTGCCTGCAAAGTGTGTGGCCGGTCAGGCTTTCTACACGTGTGCAACGGCTCCTGCGCTCTTCATTACAACTCAGGGGCGAGTCAAGGTCAATATGAACTTTGACACAATATATGGTTGTGCGACGGCTTCAGTACGCTTCACAACAGCTAGGGGCTACTCAAGGTCAAGCTTGTGCATAAAGAACAAGTGTGCATCACCATGATGATGTCACATACCAACTTCAAATATTGCACCCCTTTCCCCGCATGCTAAACATACCCACAGCATGATGATCCCAGCTTGTCACAATATTTGATGGTGCGACGGCTTCTGTACGCTTCACAACAGCTTGGGGGCTACTCAAGGTCAAGCGGGTGCATAGAGAGCAAGTGTGCATCACCATGTTGCTCTCATATACCAACTTCGAATATTGCACCCATTTCCCCACATGCTAAACATACCCACAGCATGATGATCCCAGCTTGTCACAATATTTGATGATGCATGGGCTTCTTTGCGCTCCATTACGGCTTGGGGGGTAGGCAAGGTCGAGCGCGTAGGGAGCAAATGGCATCACCATGTTGCTGCCATATGTCAACTTCGAATATTGCACCTCTTTCCCCGCATACTAAACATACCCACAGCATGATGATCTCAGCTTGTCACAATTATTGATGGTGCGACGGCTTCTGTACGCTTCACAACAGCTTGGGGGCTACTCAAGGTCAAGCGTGTGCATAGAAAGCAAGTGTGCATCACCATGTTGCTGTCACATACCAACTTCTGATATGGCACCCCTTTCCCCAAATACTAAACATCTCAACAGCATGATGATCCCAGCTTGTCACAATATTTGATGATGCATGGGCTTCTCTGCGCTCCATTACGGCTTGGGGGGTAGGCAAGGTCAAGCGCAGAGGGAGCAAACGGCACCACCATGTTGCTATCATATACCAACTTCGAATATTGCACCTCTTTTCCCGCATGCTAAACATACCCACAGCATGATGATCCCAGCTTGTCACAATATTTAATGGTGCGACGGCTTTTGTACGCACCACAACAAACTTGGGGGCTACTCAAGGTCAAGCGTGTGCATAGAGAGCAAGTGTGCATCACCATGTTGCTGTCACATACCAACTTCATACATTGCACCTCTTTCCCCACATGCTAAACATACCCACAGCATGATGATCCCAGCTTGTCACAATATTTGATGGTGCGACGGCTTCTGTACGCTTCACAACAGCTTGGGGGCTACTCAAGGTCAAGCGGGTGCATAGAGAGCAAGTGTGCATCACCATGTTGTTGTCATATACCAACTTCATATATTGCACCTCTTTCCCTGCATGCTAAACATACCCACAGCATGATGATCCCAGCTTGTCACAATATCTGATGGTACGACGGCTTCTGTACGCTTCACAACAACTTGGGGGCTACTCAACGTCAAGCGGGTGCATAGAGACCAAGTGTGCATCACCATGTTGCTGTCACATGCCAACTTCAAATATTGCACCCCTTTTACCACATACTAAACATACCCACAGCATGATGTTCCCAACTTGTCACAAAAAAATTGATGATATATGGGCTTCTCTGCGCTCCACTACGGTTCAGAGGGGAGGCAAGGTCAAGCGCATAGGCAGCAAATGGCATCACCATGTTGCTGTCACATACCACCTTCAAATATTGCACATGTTTTCCCGCATGCTAAACATACCCACAACATGATGATCCCAGCTTGTCACAATATTTGATGATGCATGGGCTTCTCTGCGCTCCACTACGGGTTAGAGGGAAGGCAAGGTCAAGCGCATAGGTAGCAAATGGCATCCCCATGTTGCTGCCATATACCAACTTTGAATATTGCACCTCTTTCCCCGCATGCAAAACTTACCCACAGCATGATGATCCCAGCTTGTCACAATATCTGATGGTGTTACGGCTTCTTTGCGCTCCATTACGGCTTGGCGGGTAGGCAAGGTCACGCGCATAGTGAGTAGATGGCATAACCATGTTGCTGTCACATACCAATTTTGAATATTGCACCTCTTTCCCCGCATGCTAAACATGCCCATTGCATGATGATCCCAGCTTGGCACAATTTTTGATGGTGCGGCTTTTGTACGCTTCACAACAGCTTGGGGGCTACTCAACGTCAAGCGTGTGCATAGAGAGCAAGTGTGCATCACCATGTTGTTGTCACATACCAACTTCATATATTGCACCTCTTTCCCCGCATGTCAAACATACCCACAACATGATGATCCCAGCTCGTCACAATATCTGATGGTGCGACGGCTTCTGTACGCTTCACAACAACTTGGGGGCTACTCAAGGTCAAGCGGGTGCATAGAGACCAAGTGTGCATCACCATGTTGCTGTCACATACCAACTTCAAATATTGCACCCCTTTCTCCACATACTAAACATACCCACAGCATGATGTTCCCAGCTTGTCACAATATTTGATGATGCATGGGCTTCTCAGCGCTCCACTACGGCTTAGAAGGTAGGCAAGGTCAAGCGCCTAGGGAGCAGATGGCATCACCATGTTGCTGTCACATAACAACTTCGAATATTGCACCTCTTTCCCCGCACGCTAAACTTACCCACAGCATGGTGATCCCAGCTTGTCACAATATCTGATGGTGTGACGGCTTCTTTGCGCTTCATTACGGCTTGGGGGTAGGCAAGGTCAAGCGCATAGGGAGCAGATGGCATAACCATGTTGCTGCAACATACCAACTTCAAATATTGCACCTATGGCATAACCGTGTTGCTGTCACATACCAAATTCGAATATTGCACCTCTTTCCCTGCATGCTAAACATACCCACAGCATGATGATCCCAGCTTGTCACGATATTTGATGGTGCGACGGCTTCTGTACGCTTCACAACAGCTTGGAGGCTACTCAAGGTCAAGCATGTGCATAGAGAGCAAGTGTGCATCACCATGTTGCTGTCACATACCAACCTCATATATTGCACCTCTTTCCCCACATGCTAAACATCTCCACAACATGATGATCCCAACTTGTCACAATATTTGATGGTGTGACGGCTTCCTTGCGCTCCATTACGGCTTGGGGCCCCAAACCCCCGGGGGTACGCAAGGTCAAGCGCATATGGAGCAGATGGCATAACCATGTTGCTGTCACATACCAACTTTGTATGTTCTGTCCCTGTCCCCGCATGCTACACAACCCCACTAGTGGGTGATGCAGTACTGCATGGTGATCCCAGCTCAACACCATATTTGATTGTGCAATGGCTTCTATACGCTTCACAAAACCCAAGTCCCCGCAAGTCCCCGCATGCTCACGCCCAAGCCCCTGCGATTCCCCGCATGTTTAAACCCAAGTCCCCGCAAGTCCACAACCAAGTCCCTGCAAGTCACCGCGAGTCCTCGCACGTCCCCGCAGGTCTCTGCATGCTCACACAAGTGCCCGCACGACCCCGCAGGTCCCAGCAGTCTCTCTCCAACAGATACGCAGACATGCTGAGTACAAGGCAACCTCCAAATTTGAGGAGCATACATGCAGGCTGGTCAAAGATATTCAAACTGTTGCATCTGGTGCAGTTGGCGCGTCCAGTGACAGATTTTTGAAACACGCACA